GGGTCGGGCATCAATGAATACAACGTGTCGGCCAGCTTGGCCACGGATAGCAGGATCACAGGCAGCACGCAGAATAGCAATGCTAAGGGCCTTGCAGGTGTGCCCATAGTACTCAACATCCTCAATGCCAGGATCAGACTGGAAGACGACAACCTCTGAAGGGTTGAGGCCTATGCTATCAGCAGCTCTTGTCTGGAAGGCATGAAGGGAAGTCGCAAGGTCGGGCTCAAAGGACACAAGCTGTGGTGCGTCAGCTTGACAGACAAGCACTGCAGACCGAACGGGCCCTGGATACATCGGGCAAGGTGTTGCCCAGTTGCGATCTGTGGCAACAAGGTCGGCAAAGTCGTAGAGAGGTCCTATTCCACGTCCGACTGGGGTGAAAGTGAGGAGGCCCCCGTTTTCAAGGTCAAGATCCTGCTCTGGCGGGCAATGTCTTTCCCCACAAAAAATGCGCATTCCTTGCAAGTCAGCAACCCGAACTGCAGCAAGGAGGGCAGCTCTGGTGGTGCGCGTTGGCGTGACAATGCTAAAGAGCCTGCCGTCAACCTGTCGTAGATCGACAAGCACGTGGCACCTGTCGGCAGCCCACTCGGGGAGCGCAAGAACACATGCGAACCTATTATCAGGCTGCGGGTGGGCAGGAAGTAGGGTGTCGAAATAAAAGGCCTGGTCCTCATTTCTAGCCTCCTGAACCTCATTAAGGGCATCATCGACTTCACAAGGGACACGGAGCACTAGGGGAAGAACCTCGGCCCTGTACCTAGGCGCAAAGACAAGGAAGTGCCCATGCATGAAGGTCGGGGGAGGAGCTCCCTCAGGCCTCTGTCTGAGGTACTCTTGTTGTGGCACCTCAGTAGCCTCCCTGTCGTACCGGTCTGGTACATGGATATCTCGACGAACATCAGCAGCACGCTGCCACGGAACCCCTTGAAAGCCTCCAGGCGCACGGTATGGGTTTCTGGCCTCAACAATAGAGGCGACACAGCTGTCTGCATCGATGGTGTCAGCTTCCCAGACAGTGGGAATGGGAAGGAACTCAACTGTCAGGACGCCTCCATTGGCAACAAGGAAAGTGGTGCCTAGCTGGGATAGGCCACGCAGATGAACTTTGTGTCCGCGGATGGGATTCAGTGCAAGGAACCTTTCGACCTCAGCAACTTCGACTGCCGCAGCTCCTGTGAGGTAGAAGGTGGGTGGGCGCCCAACAGGTCTGCAATCAAGGAAAAGGAAAGAGTCCGACGGTCGGTCTGGCTGACTGGGCCGAGGCCTGACATCGGCCGCAACAATCCCACAGAGGAGAGACCCTTGATGCACATAGGGCTGGAAGGCGTCTTTGTGTGGTCGGCACAAAGAGAGGTCAGCTGGTCTGCAGTGTAGCGCGCTAGCAGCGTGCGCAAAGAGTTCATCATTGTAGGATCCTTGATGAAAAACTGGTCTGGCCGCGCTCTGTGTCAAAATGAGCCATTGATCTGACACATCTTCTGTCGTGATATGTCGTATATCAGCAGTGAGGAACTGCTGGCTGGAGAGGCACTCTCTTGCTGACGGGTGCCAGTGCGGCTGGCCATAAACAGAAACAAATCTGAAGGTGTCTCCTGTGACAACACGGACAGGGGCAGTGGAGCTTAGCGGCGCAGGCTTGGCAGTCTGAAAGACATCCCACGGGCCACAGATGTGTCTGTCGGCATGAACGACAATGTCAGAAAAAGCTGGACGCCTATCGACAATGGCAGCGTAAGTTGGGCCACCGACAGGGGAAAAGTCAAAAAGGATCTCAGCTGAGTCAGATTGACTGATCCACTTCGGCACAAGCAAAAGGGAAAGGTATCCCTCGTCGGGCTGAGGCTCAACAAACCTGATATCTGCATCAAAGGGCAGTTTGGAAGGCCCAAGATTGCTGGTGACAGCCTGAAGAAGTTCATCAGGCTGAATTGGGAAGGGTACCTGCACATGCACCGATCGAGTAGGGTACCCGGCAGCGAAAAGAACACACTGGACAGTGAGGCCTGAGTCCGGTTGATCAAGTTCACTGCCATGTGGGACTTCAAGTTGCGAGGGTAGCGACTGGGAGAGGGTCACTTCGAAAGAAGTATTATTGATGGCAGGATCAGGCCAAAATTCACGAGCGAAGCTTGTGAGGTCTCTTGCTCCAGACTGCCCTCCAGGCATCGCGCAAATGCACCTCGGCAAAGCAAGGGAGGGGAGAAGGAAGCGGGGAAGCATCCAACCTGTCTTCCCCGTGGTATGCGGCTTGCGCTTGCGAGGGCCTGTGGTCCAAACTAGGGCCGGGCGATCCGGGACCGCAACAGCAAAAAGGGGCCGTAGAAAACAGGTCCCCAGGGGGGGACACACAGCATGGAAAAGCCTTCCAAGTGGCGAGGTCCTGTGTGCGAGCTTGCATCCCCCAAGCCGGAGAAAAACTAGGAGGAGTAAGGCGCTGAAAAGCAACCAAACAGATTGCAACTGTTGCTCAATCCAAGCAAACAGTTGATCAACAGCAGTGTCAGGAGGTATTTGAGTGGTGACCCTGTGTTGCACGGAGCCGCGACATTTAGCAATTACAGTGAAGCAACAGGGCGGGCCACTCTCAGAATTCCGTGTGGGTTGGGTAAACCGAAAAAGGCGAGGCCTAAACCCTACACTAGAAGGCAGGGGATCCTCAAAAAGGCCATCAATGACAACAATGTTGCTGGTAGCGGAGCTGATCAAGGCTGGTGAGGCAGGTACCCCAGAGCCACCGATATACCTTTTGGGCGCACTCACCTGTTGATCAAACTCGGTCGACAAAACTGAGGGGGACAAGCTGTCAGAAGGCCTTGTGGGGAACTTTGGACACCGCTGACAAAAGCCTGGGTGAAGGCATACCTCGGAGGCAGGATCACAGTGGAAGTCGAAGGAGAGGGAGCCTCTGAAGGAGCTAGGACCCTGCTCGGCAGATACACAAACCCAGTGCATCTGCGAGTCAGGGACACAGAAGGGCCAATTCTCACAATAGGTCACAAGAAACCAATGTGCCATATTGTTCAAAAAGGCTGAAAGGGCAGAAATCCATCCCTGAGGCCAACAGGTGGGGAGGTCACGGCAGCTGCAGTCTACGAGGTGAAACCGCAGAAGTCCAGGGACCTCACTCGCTACCATTCCAATGAGAGAGCATTGGTCGACGGAGTGCGGAAGAGAAAGCAGCCTCCCCAATGAGGCTGCAGACTCAAGTGGCTCCGGCAACCTGCTGTCCCAGCGGCTTGGCAGCGATTGCGTCCCGGACTTCTGCCTACCCTGGCATCGTTCAGGAGAAGCTACTCCAGTCCAGCCAAGTGCTGTCCCAACTTGTCTGCAGGTTTGTTGGCACGTCCAAGTTCGTCCTCGTCCTCGGCAATCACGGTAGTCCCTGGGCGGGTGGTCGCTGCACTTCCCCCTTCCTTCTCCGGCGGGTGGATGCCAAAGGGTAACATTGCACGCTTCTGCATGATACGCTGTGCCAATGCCTCTTCCCCGAGGCCATGTCCATCTGTCGAACTCTGGGCAGGCGGTCGTCCTGCTTCGTAGGGCCCCACCCGCGGGGACACCGAGGGCGTCCGCTTCAGGCGATCGAGTCCAGGAGAAGCAGTGAAAGGGCCCCCATCCGGGGTCGGGCCCGTGACATGCATTCCTTGATCTCCCTTGGTGAACGTCTCCGGAGCCCCACCAAGGTTCGGTTCTGAGAGAGAACTGCCCACAGGAGCAAGACCCGGCGGGGGTACATAGTCCATGGCAGCAAGACGTTTTCCCCAATCTCGCACGTCTGATCCCAGGATCCTTGTCAAAGCTTCCGCGTCCGACTCCACTGCAGCAGCAGGCGGCGGCCTTGTGAGGCGCTCCCAATCCTGATCCTCGCTGGGCATAGGAGCATCCGGGGCATTCCCTGTGCTCAAGGCTGCTGCATAAGCCTGTTTCAACGCTTCGGAGTTCTTGGCCTCCTGCTCTTTGGCCTCCGTCAAGTCCTCGTTGATCTTCATCATGGCCTTGTTGTATCTCTCTTTCTCCTGCTGGAAGGATCGTTGCAACTCGGCCTCGTAGCGTTGCCATTGAGCCTGCCTTTGCTGACGCAATTGCGTCAGCTGCTGCACCCGGTTCTCCGTCTTTCTGGCCAGGTTGATCTGGGCCTGGAAGGCACCAACAAGTCCCCCAGCCTGGGACCCTGTCGCAGCAGCTTCCGTGTTCGGAAGATCCTCCGTCTTGTCGGCCTTGCGGGTGTCGTACCGAGGGAAGCGCTCCTTGCCCTCGCCCTTGCCTTTCTTGCCTCCCTTCGCATCGTATTTGCGATGCGGAGACCACGCACCACGCCAGTAGGATTCTCGACCACCTTTTCGCCATCCTTGGTGATCGTCCTTCTTGCCCATACGTCGTATGAGCTGCGTTCGGTGGTTCGAGCCCGTCCCGTGATGGACGATGAGCTTCTGGATAGAAGCAGCACTTGTGTTGACTCCCTTCCGGAGCCGGCGCCTCACACGAGAGCGCTGGGAGCGAAGATGGCGGTGCCAAGGGGGGCTGCTATTTGCCGTAGCAAATAGAAAGCGACACCACTATTGGGTGTCTGGGGCGTTCAGCTATCCCACTCGGGGTGTTCTGAGCCCTACATACATACACACATACATACATACATACATGTGCATAGGGGCAGGTGTCGACGTACACCCAAAAGACTGATGTAATATTCGTTGTGATATCCCCACCTTCACCACCGCCGTCACCACCGCCGCCGCCATCACCACCACCGCCACCGGCACCGGCACCGGCACAGGCACCGGCACAGGCACCGGCAGCCACCGGCACCGGCACTGCCACCGCCATCACCATCACCACCATCACCATCACCACCATCACCATCACCATCACCACCATCACCATCACCATCACCCCAAGACAGTGTCATGCTGCATGACTGTTCCCGTTGCGAGATGCTGTCCGCAAGTTCATGATGGCACACGCGTTGTCCGTTCAATTCCCGTTTGGTTTTCGAGGTCGCGCATCACTTGCGGCCGTCGGCGCAGCCCTACATTGCATCCAGGCGATGTGTCCTGCAGCCTTCCTTTGATAGCCTTGCTGGGCTGGGACTGTTGATGAACAGAAATCTTTGGTTTAGGGTTTAGGTGCATCATCCATAATGGCCATAGTGGCCGGAGTAGAGCATGTGCCATGAATCCGAGGCTTAGGGTACGGACGGTGCTCCAGGATTTTAATTTTGTCCCCAGTCCATCAGCTGTACAAACAAAAGCCTCAATACCCTCACATCCGAACCTTGTACCTGCGACTGAGCAGAAACCCCGCTTCTTCTGAACACCCCAAACCCGCAATCCTAAACCGTAAACCCCTAAAAACCCTAAGCCCCAAACCCTAAACATCCCCAACCCTTAAACCCCTAAACTGGTGATGAATGCAGGGCTTTCTAGTGTAAGCTCGATCTGCCAGCGCCTGCTGGAGTCAAAGGTGTGGTGCATTTCACTTAAAGAAAAGCCTAAACCCCTAAACCCCTAAAGCCCTAAAGCCCTAACGCCCTAAACCCCCAAACCCTTAAACCCTTAAACCCCAAACCCCTAAACATCTGAACCCCTAACCATCTCTAAACCCAAACTTCTAAATCCTTAGGCATCCCTGAACCCTAAAGCGTTTCTTTCGAGCACCCCAAACTAAACCCAAAACCCAAAACCCTCAAACCCTAAACCCCTAAACCCTAACCCCCAAACCCTAATGCCTCAAGCGTTTCTTTTGAGGCTTCGGCAGGCTCCTCGCGATGCAGCGGCCGCCTCGGACGAGGGCCGGGAGGAGGCGCGGGGTCTTAAAGGGTTTAGGGGTCTACAATTCCCAATATTATAGGGTTTAGGGTTCCAAAAATGGGTCTATAAGGGCTACTATAAGGGCCATTATAAGGATTTAGTATAGGGGCCCAAAAAATGTCCAACGCTTCTTTTGGGGCTCCTTATTATAGTTGTTGATAATGGGCCCAAAACCCTATTCTGATGATTAAAGCCACTATATTGTTAGGGTCTAAGGGCTTAAGATTCAGGGGTTTTGGGGGTGCAGGGTTTTGGGTTGAGGCGTTTAGGGTGTAGGGTTTGGTGTTGATCAGGGGTTTCGGTTGAAGACGGTGTGGCTTTACGGAGGGTTTGGTGTTTAGTTATTGCGGACACTTCAGGGGTTGAGGGTCTGATTTTAGGGTGTAGGGCTTCAGGTTTAGAGGTTTGGGTTTAGGGGCGGGAGTTCGGGCAAAAACTTGTAGCTCGGCTGTACGGTTCAGGGCTCTCTTCGTGATTTTCGATCATATTTACAGTTTTCCGGAGCAGTTGAAGAAGGAGTGATGGTGTAGTCTGTCGGTTTAGGGTTTAGAGTTTGGGGTTTTGGGTGCAGGATTTGTAGAGGTTTTGGGGTTCACGAAGTACCAGAAGCAGGCGGACGTTTGTTTTCAAGCAGATACTTGGAGGATCATGGGACTTAGTAAGTAATTTCAGAAGTACCTCCATAGGGGTTATAAGTAGTTATAAGTAGAGTTGCCCTAATTCTAACCCTAGTTACTAAGTCCCATGATCCTTTAAAGTAAGCCCCTAAGCCCCCTGTGCTCCAGCCTTCGAAATCCACGCCTTTCAGAGGCGTGCGATGGGCCCTGATACTAACCCGGAGGGTCCGCCAGAGTATATACTATTTGGGTACATGGACCCTTAGGGTCATGTAGAAGCCTGAACAACACTGCGAATATTCCCTAAACCCTAAGCTAATATTGCCTTGTAGGGCCCCTTAAAATCTTACATGCATATACCCCCCCTCCCCCCACACCGTCTCCTAATTATGAGGGGCCCTTGTATCGCTTCTCCCGAAGGCACGAGCTGCGATCGAAATCCTCGCGCGTGGCATGGGCAAGATGCGACAAGCAGGCGGTGAGGGTTTAAGGGTTTCGGAGGCTTATGGGGGCTTAAGGGCTTGGGGTTTGGAGGTTTCGGGTTTGGGGCTGAGGGATTGAGGGGTCTCGGGCCTTAGTATTTGGGGTTTAGGTAACCGGGCCCCAAACGGGGTTGCTTGATTTTGCGAGGGTTGAGGGATCAAAGTTTGTCCTAAACCCTGAACTCCGCAGTCCAAAGCCCGAAACCTCAATATTTCCCACACCTTCAATAGCCCTACACCATAAAGCATTCAAAGGAACCCTCAACCCTAAACCCTAATAATTCCCATACCTTCCTTGAAACCCTACATCCTAAACCCTCTAAAGCAAAAAGATTCTTTCGAGTCTGCAGTCGAAAAGGGGCCCTTCAAAAAAGGCCTTTAAAGGAACCCTCAACCCCAAAGCCTAAAATCCTCGCGGGGACTCCGAAAACCTCTCTGAAGCGTGGGCAAAACCCTAAACCCCTAAACCCTAAACCCTAAACCCTAAACCCTAAACCCTAAACCCTAAACCCTTAACCCTTAACCCTAAACCCTAAACCCTAAACCCTAAACCCTAAACCCTTCCCAGAAACCCCAGGAGCCCTATCGCGGCTGCGCGGCTTCCGGCTCAAAGAGGAGCGGCTCTTTTGGGCCTTTAGGGGGTTCAGGGCCTTTTGGGGTTTAGGGGTTTGGGGTTTAGGGGTTTAGGGTAGGGGTGTAGGGGTTTAGGGCCTTTCAGGATTTGGGATGTGGAGTGTAGGGTGCAAGGTTCAGGATTTAGGGTTTACGGTTTAGGGTTTTGGGTTTAGGGTTTTGGGTTTTGGGTTTAGGGTTTAGGGTTTTGGGTTTAGGGTTTAGGGTTTTGGGTTTTGGGTTTTGGGTTTTGGGTTTTGGGTTTAGGGTTTAGGGTTTTGGGTTTAGGGTTTAGGGTTTAGGGTTAGTGTATGGTGCCAGGTTCAGGATTCCGGGTGTAAAGCTCAGGCGGCTTCTAAGTTCCCTCGGGTCTTTGCAGGGATTTCGATGCTTCTTCCAGTGTGTTTACTTGCAGGTTTCTACCGGGTTTCTCAGGTTGTTGCGACGTTGTGCATTGTTTTATTCAAAGTAAGCCGCAGCCGCTTTACAGGGATCTACATGTGTTTTTAAATAGTGTTGCCTATAGATGATATGGGGGCTTGTGTAAACATTCATGACATTTTCCTACAGGCCCTTGCCCAAAGACAATACAAAGCCCTAAAACCCTATTCCAACGAATACTAACCCCCCCTTTAACCCCCCCTCGCCCACTGCCCTTATTTAGGTCTCAGGCACTACATGTGGACATGACAGAAATACCAAAACTGACATCATGTTGGCTGTGCTATAGGGACCGAAATAATGACCAATATTGTTTTGGGGGTTCCTTATTATAATTGTAGTACACTGGGCCCCAACACCTTATTCTAACTACTAAGGCCCCTCTACGAAACCAAAAAGCTTAAGTCTGAGAACTTTCACAAGATGGGTTCAAGGCTCCACACGCTGCGGACGCCTCAGCAGCCGAGGACCAACAAGAGGTGCTTCGGCTGTGCTATCTTTCGCGTGAAGTTTTAGGGGAGTAGGCTTCGGGGTTCAGGGCTTCAGGGCTTGGAGTTTAAATGGGTCTTCTGGGTGCAAATGGTTTTGGAAGTTGGCATAACTCGGACATGGGGTTCTATATAGGGACGTGATTGGGGTTTGGGCGTCTGAAGCGCAGGATGCAGGTTCGTTCCTGCTGGTGCTGCTTCTTCTTCTTATGACACTGCCAGTGCCACTGCTGCTGCTCTTGCTACTGCGACTGCTGCTGCTGTCACTGCTGCGGCAATTAACTGAAAGCACCACTGCGACTGCCGCTGCTGCTGCTGCTCGGCTTATCGGTCTACTAGTGGCCGGCAACTTGATGGTGTCAGGGTTTAGGGTTTAGGGTTTTAGGGTTGTAGGGTTTTAGGGTTTAGGGTTTAGGGTTTAGGTTGGTCTTTTGAGGTGGCGCATCACTTGCGGCCGTCGGCGCAGCCCTACATTGCATCCAGGCAGCTCGTCCAGCACTTTCCAGTCGTTTCCTTGGGTTCATACACAAGCCTGAAAACTTAGTCGTGCCATTTACAGGGCTTCTTAGTATTATTGCGACATTAGAGTATACTTCAAATTCCCTTTTTCTACTGACTATGCGCCCTATACTCAGCCCTGAATGCCTCTACTGCCCCGATAGAACCGTTATACAACCTATATAGCTCTGGTGCAAAGCCTGGGCCCTATTCTTAATATTCAGGACCCTATATGGGTGGTTGTCAAAATAAGGATCCCTTTCTGGGTACCCTAAATAATAGGTGCCGTATTATAATAGGGACCCCAAAAGGGACCCTAATTTGCACAACTACCCATATCAGATTGCTTGTTTCCTTCCCAGGCTTCGGCGTTCTGTTGCAGACGCGCCAGTGCCCATGGAGACGCGAGCTGTTCAAGTCGAGGTGCTGCAGATGCACACATATTTATCGGATTTGAGCTTAACCACCTCAACCCGAAACCCTAAACCCCAAACCCTAAAACCCTGAACCTAAACACTAAACCCTAAACCCCTAAACCCTGACATTCCTGAACCCTATTAGGGGGTAGAGGGTATACCCGAAAGCCGAAACCCGAGACTCGAACACTGCCCCCGTAGCCTTGGTTTAGCACATTTTTTTTGCTGTAAACTCAACGTTTCAGCTTTTGAGGTTCTTATAAGGTAGTCGATTCTGAAAGTTTCAACTCTTGTTTCCTTGGGTTTTGGGCCAGTGAGTTTTGTTTTCCGGTGGTCACCCTTGCAGAAGGCGAGGCAAAGCCTCTTAGCTTGTCGCGGTTTTAAGTTTGAGCCTTCGGTTTAGGGTGTAGGGTACAGGTTTCAGGGTCAGCCTGAAGGGTGACGTTGCGTCGAAGAAGCTGTCAGTCATTTTGGGCTTAATGGTTCGGCTTTCCCTACCTGTGAAAGCGTACCTACGTCGCCTCTTACATCGCACGTGGCGCAGCGCCGTTCTTGTACGTCTGGCGTAGCAGAGGACGCTTGGACGACCCACAGACGGATCATCTCATCTAGCTTTTTGTGACATTCCTAGTGGCTGGCTTACATTGGCAACTTTGTTAATCTCTTGTTCTACCGTCTCATCGTCGTCGCTATCATCATCGTTAGCGACACAGCATTGCCCGAACCAAGGCCGTGTAGGCTAGCAAACTTGAAGCCGCGGTAATCTTCCAAAGAGCTGTGAGTGAGTGACTCCCCTCAATCTGCTGCCCCGAACCTTCCAACGGCGTGCACACAGAACTGACAGTGCTGATTGGGGCGACCTTGACCACTTCAACCTTAAAGCGACATAAAATGCAACATAAAAGCGACACATAAGCTGCATATCTCACAGGAAGAGGTGGCACTTTCTCTCGCGTCGTCGCAGAAGGTTGAACTGAAGAAGAAGACCTTCTCACGGTAGAAGTCGAGTTTCAGGTCCAGGGTCCAGGTGCCAGAAGTTGGGGTTTCTAGGGTTCTTGGGCCAACGCCAAAAAAGCCCTAAATCCTCAAACTCTAACCTGAAACCCTAAACCCTATCCTAATTTAAAAAAAACTAAACCCTAAACCCTCAGTTACGAGCTAAATCTCAAACCCCCTGGTCCCGTAAAATCAAGGTAAAGCCCTCACGCCCTAAAGCCGTAAGTTCTCTAGTCACTACTTCAGGCTCCGCAAGACGTTGTGGCCGCACAGCTTGGCCAAGAGGATGTTCTTCGGCTGGCCATCTTCAGTGTTTCCGGGTTTCAGGTTTTCACTGGAGTTCAGGGGTGTTTTGGTTGAAGAGGTTCAAGGTCTTGAAAGGTTTGCGGGATTTAGACAGGTTGTAGAGGGCTTCATAGAGGCTCGAAGGGGCTTGTACACTCGGGGTTCATGCGGGTTTGTAGAGGTTCAGGTTTTAGGAGTTTAGGGTTTGGGTTGGGGATTTTCGGATCAAGGGCAGTATGTTCGTTAGCGCTTAGGCCACCTACCGGATTGAGGGTTTTCTTCTTTTTTTCAGGCTGTCGGGTATGGGGTTGCAGTGTCTAGATTTTGTGTCTCAGGATGTAAGGTTGGGTCTGGTAATTATCAGGTTTACTTGGAGGATCATGGGACTTAGTAAGTAAGGTTATAAGTACTTTAATTGGGGTTACAAGTAGCTATAAGTAGAGTTACCCTGATTATAACCCTAGTTACTAAGTCCCGTGATCCTTTAAGTAGGCTTGAGGGTCTCCGAAAGAGGGTAAGGTTTTTGGCTGATGTTTGAGGTTCATGGTGCAATTAGTAGCGGTGCAGCTGCTCACAAGTCATTCACCCATGCTGCCAGCCCACAGGAGGCTCTGATGGTAAACTCCAGCGGTCCACACCCCTCCAACCCCTGTAAAGCCCTTGATCAATGCCTCGATGAAACCCGTTCTGAAACCTTATAGCAGGCTTGCTATCAACCCTGTAATATAGGGGCTTTAATAAATACCTACACTATTTTGGGGTTTCCTCCTTGTAGTTGTAGTACAACGGGCCCCAAAACCCTATTCTAAGCATTAAGGCCCCTAAGTTATATCCAAGCTTTCTTCAAATTTTGGCCATGCTCCCAATCAAAATTGGCACATACATTGAGACCCGAGGCCTGTTGCAGCATGGCGTAAACAAACACTTCAAGAGCAACACTGATTCTTCGGGACCTTGAAGTACCAATGCTATGTTTCGCTAGATATGGGTTTGAGATGGTTTTATTTTCCGTTACTGTTTAACATGACCCTAAGCATAAACAAGTTTGGGCACTGTTGACACTGACGCCTAGTTTGGGGTCTCTGCGGAGGTCGCCAGGTTTCCTTATACAACCCCCAACTCAACTTCGCTCTCAGGGATCGCAAGACTCTGTGGCCGCTGTTGAGCCTGGCGAAAACGAGGTGCTTTGTCCGCTCTTCAGGAGATGCTCCGCCTGTGCTATAGCTACCACGGCCTTCAATATATGCTCTCGGGTCGCGGGCCGCCACCCCCCCCCCCCCCCCCCCCCAACCCCTGCCGCCCTGTTGCTGCACGCCCACCCGCCCTGCCCGCCCCGCCGCCCCCGGCCCGCACCTTGCCTGCCCCTTGACCTCGTGCGCGGATCGGGAGTGTCGCACTATGCCCTGCCGTGTGCGGAAAGCGGCATCTGACGTGAATTGCAATGCTGAATTATGAGGGTTGTATTGCGATGGGTGATGGTGGCAGATCTTCTTTTGAAGGTATCAATGATGAACATGACGACGACAAGGATGATGTTGAGCATGGTATGATCGTCGACTCATGTCCCGGTCCAGAGCAGCACAACATCATGAGCAGTATCACCGGTGCCACAACAAGAGGGAAGACAAGGAGTAACACATAAGAACGTCGTGGCAAAAAGAGTACCACCACAGGCCCCACACCACAGGGGGGGCGGGGGGGAAGGGGGGAGGATACCATGGGGTGGGGGGGGAGGGGGGGGTGGCAGCCCTGCATCATATATGGGAGGTCCCTTTTTGGGTTCCCCTAAATAATAGGTGCCGTATTATAATCGGGACCCCAAAAAAAGACCACATTTTTGACAACCACCCGTATGAACTGGGGGCTTCTATTCAGGCAACAAAAGGGGTTTAGGGTTTGGGGTTTAGGGTTTAGGGAGTGCGAATAGGGGTTAGGTCATATGGGAATGCTCGCAATACACTCCCGGCATCACATCCCGAGGCTGTTAAACTGAATGCCACGAGCTTGATGCTCAATGCCTGACCTTTGCAAACCCCTAAACCCACAAGCCCAGAAGATCTCTAAACCATACATCCAAACATACATCCAAAGGGTTTAGGGTCAGGGGTTTCAGCTCTGAGTTGCATTCCCTGCTCCACCCAACGTACCCCATCCCTTACTTCCCTAAACCCTAAACCCTAAGCCCCAAACCCTAACTATACTACCCTTATAGATCCCTTATAGAACCCTTTAAGGATCCACAAACGCAATGTTTCAGAGACCGGGTCCGAATTGGCACCTGCGCCTTGAACTCTGAAGCCTTCACCTCGTTTCGGCCAGGGTCAAGCTAGGCTTAGAGGGTGTTTAGGATTCTACGCACTCTGGGTCTTGAATTCTGCGGCTTTTGATGGGGATGCTCTTGGAGCTTGTTTTAAGCCATAAACCCTATAAACCCCCAAACCCTACACCCCAAACCCTTAAACCCTAAACCCCACACCCTAAACCCTAAACCCCTCAAACCGTTAATTCTAAACCTTAAACCCCAAAACCCCAAAACCCTAAACCCTACACCCTAAACCCTAAATCCTAAACCCTGAACCCCTGAACCCTAAGCCGTGGAGGTGAGATCGGTCAGATCTATCAACCCTTCAACTTTCAGAGGCCTGAGCCTGGAATCCTAAAACCCAGAACCCTAAAACCCCAAACCCTAGACCCTGAAAGCCCTACAACAACAACTACTACTGCTCCTACTACTACCACTACTACTACCACAACTCCTACTACTACTCCTACTACTACTACTACTACTACTACTACTACTACTACTACTACTACTACTACTACTACTACTACTACTACTACTACTACTACTACTACTACTACTACTACTACTACTACTACTACTACTACTACTACTACTACTACTACTACTACTACTACTACTACTACGACTACTACTACTACTACTACTACTACTACTACTACTACTACTACTACTACTACTACTACTACTACTACTACTACTACTACTACTACTACTACTACTACTACTACTACTACTACTACTACTACTACTACTACTACTACTACTACTACTACTACTACTACTACTACTACTACTACTACTACTACTACTACTACTACTACTACTACTACTACTACTACTACTACTACTACTACTACTACTACTACTACTACTACTACTACTACTACTACTACTATTAAAACTAAACACTAACTCAGGCCACTGAAGACGACGCGACAGAGGCGAAAGGAGGTGTGCTTTGGCTTGAAAATGGGGAGTTCTTTGCATCCAAGTCCGAAGCCGACAACGAGTCCCTCTACCCATAGGCCCCATAGTAATTCCTTTTCAGGGTTTATATGTAGAATCCTTTAAAGTAGTAACAAAAAGGAACTGCTATGGGGCCTATGGGCAGTCTAGGATTTCTGCACAGTGTTTAGGGGTCTGAAGTCTAGGGATCAGGGTTTGAGGTTTGGGGTTTAGGGTTTAGGGTTTAGGGTTTGGGGTTTAGGGTTTAGGGTTTAGGGTTTAGGGTTTAGGGTTTAGGGTTTAGGGTTTCAGGGTTCCGCGTTTGGGGTTTAGGGTCTCTCCCCTTTTGGAGCATCAACTCCCCACCTCAACCCGAAGCCCTGAACCCCCAAAACCCTAAACCCTAGCCCCCTACTGGTGCTACTATCACTACTACTACTACTGCTACTACTACTACTACTACTAAAACTACTACTAAAACTATTACTAAAACTACTACTAAAACTACTACTAATAAGGCTACTACTAAGACTACTACTACTAAAACTACTACTACTACTACTACTACTACTACTACTACTACTACTACTACTACTACTACTACTACTACTACTACTGCCACACTTGCTATACTACTACAACCCCTCCAAACCCCTACCCCGGCCTAGAAAACCAAGGACGAACAGGAGGTGAAGCCATCCGGAGGTGCACGGATAAAGGGGTTTCGGGGGTTGGGGGTTTAAGGGTTGAGTTTAGGGTTTCGGGTTTAGGGATAGGGGAGTTTAGGGTTCAGGGGACTCTAGGGAGTTTAGGTTTAGGGAGTTTGGGATTCAGGTGCTTAGGCCATGGGGATCTTCAATTACAGTTGCCTATGGGGGTTTCCGAAAATAGGGGACCCTAATATAGTACCCCGAATAGTTGGATCCTCATTATAAGGATCCCAAAATTAGGTACCCGTAATTTTCGGAAATTCCCATATTGTAACTTCAGATAGCGCGGGGGCCCTGAACTAGTCCGAAGATTGTAGGGTTTTGGGAATTCCCAGAGGCTCCAAAATCCCTTGATTAAGGTATATTCTTTAAAGCCTATTGGGGATCCTACTATAATTTAAAGTATATTCCTGAATTAAGGGATATTGGAGTCTCTAGGTTTAGGGGTTCAGGGTGTCAGGCTTAGGATCGGAGTTCAGGGGTTTAATAATTAGTTTGGTATGTCGGCTTTCATGGCCTGGTGTGCGGTTTGACGGCTTACTTTCCAAGTTAGTTCACCCCGAGAGTCTATACTTCAACGCTGAAGCCCTTCAGGGAAAGGGCCTATAGGGGGTGATTGGGTTTAGGGGGTTTAGGGTTTAGGGTTAGGGGTTTAGGGTTTAGGGGTTGAGGGGTTTTGGGTTTTAAAGCAGCTCTTGGGCATCGTGGGTTCACTTCCTGACGGCTAATGAGTTCATTCCAGGCTGAGCGCATTGCGCTTTGCCTTGCAAGTAAATAGTAAAAGCCCTTGAAATCCCGAGGGAAGTAGGCCCTAAATCCTAAACCCTGAACCCTAAGCCTTAAACCCAACCCCCTAAAACCCTAAACCCTAAACCGCAAACCGGTAGCCCTGGAGGTGGCTTCTTCGACTTCGACGACTTGGACGAAGCTGGCGGGTGAACTCCCGACCCCTTTCTTCGGGTATATGGTGTGGGCTTTCCGGTTTAGGATTTTAGAGAGGTAGAGTTTAGGATTTAGGGTTGTTGGGTTTAGGGTTTGGGGGTTTAGGGGTTTAGGGTTTAGGGGTCTGAACCCTAAACCCTAAAACCCCAAGCCCTAAACCCCAAACCCTAAACCGTAAACCCTGACCCCTAAACTAAACCCCAAACCATAAACCCTGAACCCCCTCCAAAAAGCCGGTGTCGAAAAACTCATACGGTTTCAGCTTACTCTATGTTAAGGTAGCCGAGTGTGGAATTTTATAGCCTAGGTTCGTAGAGTATAGGCTCAACAACAGAGGAACGGCAGTTCAATAAGGCTTTGGTAGGTAATGGAGAACGGAATACTCCTATAGAGATAGTATCCCTGTATTGTGCTTATTCAACTATACTACGCTATACGGGACTATACGATACGATACTATGCCATACCATAGCATCCCCTACCCAAAAACCCTATTCCAACCAATAAGCCAATCAATATTGACATGGTCCCAATATTACCAGCTTGACACTTGGAGCTCCAAATCGCTACTCCCTACTCCACAGCTGCCTCCTGACTCCGCCTGTCGAACCCTGCGCTTGAATCCCAAGTCCCTAGACCTTCAATTCGTCGTAGTGCCTCTGCGCAGTATGGACGCATGGGGAGCTCTCTAAGCTAGGGCCCCTGTTCAAGGCCCCCAAATAGTACGGAACTATCCATATCCGCATCAGCCATAAAGCCGCAACATGCTCCCAAATCCGGCTGCTGTCCTTGCTCATCCAGCATCCGCCTTCTATGGGTTTTAAGGTTTAGGGTTCAGAGTTGTTTAGGCTTATAATGTATACTTTAGGGTTCAGGGCGTTAGGGTTCCAACTCGCATGTTAATGTCGCCAGCTCCGGCTTGTTCGTTGACAAAGCGCAATGTGAGCCGGTTGCTGTTTCGCGTGAAAATCTGCAACGCAGGGCCAGGGGTTTGGGTATGTTCGGGGCAAGAGTACACACTGTGTAAGTTTCGAAATGTTGGTATAAAGCTTTGTCAAAGATGATCACATGAGCCTACGCCTCTTACACGGCTCCGTCCAGAGCGCTTGCCCAGCTAGCCTGAGGGCAACCGCAAACCCTCTACGCCTGGCCAAAAGGGGTAGGGTCCACTTTTCGGATCCTTCGACGCAACTACGACGAAGATGAATACATTCAGACGGATCCCAAGCATAGGATAACCCTGAAGCACATGCCGGGAAAGCCCGAACACCCTAAACCCTAAAATTTAAACCGCTAAACCCAAAAACCACTAAACCCTAAAACCCTAAAACCGTAAACCCCCAAACCCTAAACCGAAACCCTTAAACCCCAGACCCTAAACCCCTAAACCCCAAACAAGAGGGTTGGCTTCTGCTGCTTGTGCTGTTCTAAGACTTGGGATTCTCGGGAGCCGGGGCTCCTCCTTATTTTTAATATAGGGTCTTAATAATTAACTACCTATACTCCCAGAGAGCCCAATACCCCTTAATTAAGGAATATGGTTTAAATTATGTAGGACTTCATATTATGATTTAAGCTATATTCCTTAATCAAGGGGTATTGGGCTCCCTGGGCTATTTTTGAGGGTTCCTTGTTATAATTACAGTAGAAAGGGCCCCAAAACCCTATTCTAATTCTTAAAGCACCCACATTAGATTTAGGCCATTTTTGAAGTCTACGATTTGGGCTTAGGGTCAGGGTTTAGGGCTTAAGCTGATTTTTTGGCCCGGAGAGGTAGGCCGGGTTGAGGCTTTCGGTGGGCGCATCAAGGAAGTTGGAAGGAGGGCGCAGCCCTCACGTGTAGTTTTTCTGTTAAGGTTGGCCGACACTGCTTTTGACGATGCTTGAACGAAGAATTGGATTATGAGCGTGCGGGTTTTGCTATACGGAGTCCGCAAGTGACGGCTTTTGAGGGCTCCGGTGTTCGGCCTTGGGTCAAAGACTTGGCGGGTTAGGGTTTAGGGGTTTAGGGTGTAGTGGTTTTTGCGTGGGTGTTGGGACCGTATTTGCCAAGCTCCGAAGGCATGGCAGCATCGCAGTCAACTCTTCTTAGTGGTAACCTACATACAGGGCCAATGTTCGGTTTGCGGTTCCGGGTATTAGGTTGCAGGCCTGAAACACACAGTCCAAAATCCACTGCCCAAAGCTCTAAACACAAAGCCCTGAACCCAAGACCCTAAACCTCAAGCTCAAAGCAAAACCTCAAGCCGCAAGCCCCACAACGGAAGCCGTAGTAGGCGCTCGGTATGTCAGGTCGGCCTCACCAGACATGACCTCTCTGCTGTAGCAACGCGAGGTGCCGAGGAAAGTGTGTTCTTGGAGAGGATGCCTGTTACAGGATAAAAAACCTGAACTCTAATTGTCGCACGAGGTTTTCGATGCGGGTTTAGCTCAGCATTTGGGGAAGCACGGGAGAACGTTATCTTGCAACTCTACCTAACCTACTCACCCAGCCTATTGATCTTGGCAAGGTTTAGAATGTTCCGCCCTAAACCTAAACCGTATTCCGCCTTAACCCTAAACCCTAAACCCTGGGTTTAGGTTTTAAGGCTCTCCGATCTCAGGGTTCAGGGTTTAGCATTTTGGAGTTGTGAACAGCCGGAGACGTCAGGTTTAGGGTTTAGGGTTTATGGATGTCGACGACTGCACCGTAAACCCCGAACCCTGAAACCCTAAACTCCAAGCCTTAAACCTTAAACCTGAACCCAAACCCAACCTATCCCAAGAGATAGTCGAAAGCATCTTCGGCATGCGGCATGGGATTGAGTTTCGAAGCCGAATGTGGTGCTACCTGTCTTTTCAAAAGTCCGGGGAGCCTCTAGCAGTTGAAACACCGTCACAAACCTTGCATGGATTAGCCGACTAGCCCACACCTCTAGCAAATAGTTGCCTCTGGCTATCTGGCATCATCAGTCTCAGGACATTCACATGCCCCATGCGCACAGCCGCAACCTATCGTGCTGCCTCACTGTCTGGTATCATAAAACTTATCATAAAACTCACAACATGCAGGAGGCCCTAGTTGCAGGTGAACCCTCCAAAAAGCCACAATGCATGTTGGACATGTTGACCGTCCTGCTGGGCCCGAGCTTGAGCCTACTTGGACGTTGTTTCCCATATCCAGAGCCATTTGACCCATGCGTCGCTTGCTTTTGGCCGCCATCTCTTTGTGCCTCACCAGTCCGGCGGCGGCAATCCGGAGTCTGGAGGACGTGCAGCGGCGACTGGGTCAGTGATTACATCAGTAGCACAGGTATGTAGGCATGTCTGTCTGTATGTGTGTATGTATGTATTTTCATGTATGCATGCATGTATGTATGTGTGTATGTCTGCATGTACGTATGTATTATGCATGTACGCAGATGCATGTGTGGATGCCCGCATGTGTATGTGCGTATGTGTGTTTGCATACTTGCATGAACGTATGAGCTTACATACTGTACTATGATATGGGATGCTATGCTACACTATCACTACTTACTACACCATACCATACTGTACTTGACGATGAAAGTGCATGCATACATGCATGCATACATAACTTCATACAGGCACACATACGTATTATACATACATACATGCATGCATGTATATATACATACATACACACATGTGTGCATACACACAAACATACGTACATGCATTACCAACCTATATACTGATATATGTATATATGTGTGTATACACATACGTACATACATACATACATACATGCATACATGCATACGTGCATACATGCAAACATGCAAACAAAGATATGTACAGACATACAGACGTCCAGACACACGTGAAGACAGACATACATGCATGCTTGCATGCATGCGAACATGGATTTCGTTACATTACAGTACTATACAGTTCATCACGATGCATGAAACCACATGATAGTTCACATTGCAATGCATAGCCATACACACACACACACACACGCATATTACCCTACGTGCCTGCCTACATAAGTAGCATGCATGCATACATACATGCCTGCACGCATGCAAGCGCACATGGATACATGAATATGGATGTGTGTATACGTACGTACAGACATGCATACAAAGCTGCACCCATACATACATCTATACATGCATACAGTACATAGACACACATACATACACACATACATACATACCTACATACCTACATACATACGTACGTCCATGCATGCATACATGCATACATGCATGCCTACATACATACATGATGACATGCAGGCAGTTGCATGCACGCACACACACACACACAACGAGACATTGGTATGCGTGTGCTGCTTCTTTTCACAGGTTTTCGATGTCTATACTTTCGCTTTATTCTACATGTTTACCAGAGGTGAATACTCTTCCTCCGTTCACTTCCCAGTAGCGGCCCAGGCACCATGAGCTTGTTGCAGCCCAGGAGGACCCAACCGGCAGAGCACTTTAGTGGCATCGCAAGAGTGTGGTGATGTTCGAGCTGGGAAGCAATTGCAACTGTACCGTGACGGAACCCGTTCCATGGAGCACAAGTGTACAGAATATGCTTTATGCATCAGCCCTCCGTAATACCATGTTACAAAACAAAAGACCCCTTCACTAGTCTATCTCCCCAAGGCTTTTCACCAAGGCCCTACCTGAACTTCAGTCAGGCTCGCAAGAGCCGGGTTCTTCAAGAATGGATCTTTGGTGAAATGATTTAACTGCAAACCACCCTAGAGTAGAGCCCCAAAGCTGAAAACCTTTTTCAACCCCCATATGTCTGAGGCGCCCCTAGCCCAAGATAATTGTATTTACGATCAGGACGGTGCCCGAGAACACTTACATGAGGCACTTGGCGACGGAAGCCAGAATATGGAAAAACCACACGATCCCAAGAAGTACTTCGTCTGCTGCAGATGCTACATCGAAGTCCAGGACCCAGTAAAAAAGTTTTGGCGTTTGGACGAAACGAAGCGTCTGCTTACACGTGGCTGGGCTCCTGTTAAG